GTATGGACCGAGACGGAGTCGAGGTCCATAGACACGCAAAATCTTGACCGAACAAGCTTGGTCAATAAGGAATTCATTATATAGCTTCTGCTTCCGCTTCGAGGAAATTTTCCCGCAAGACACAGCGTGTAATCCCAAGCGGACAAGATAGCGCCATTTTGCTCGCTCTGGTAGCTATAGCTTTTTTTTTTTTTTATCAAAGGCACCGATATTGACACAAAGCATCGGTTATTGAACCGCATAACATCTCGAGCTCCCAGGCCAAACTAAATCATGCGTGGATTTTAAATTCGATCACACGGGCTCAGCCTGACAGAGATAATCTCAGCTCACCTCCTTTGCAGTCCAGCTGGATTTCCTTTCTGACTGTTTAAGTGTCTCTTTCAGTCTCTGCTTCATCTCGTCCAAAGTTCGCAGTCCCTTGGTCGAAACACCAAGTGACGCCATTGTTTTAAACATGTCCTCGACGTCATCGATATCGTCGATCTCTTTTTCGATAGACATATTCCTTAAAGATACCTTAAGCGCGTATAATGTAAGCTTAGTAACGAATTACAGAATCACTTAGAGTCATGAAGGACGTGATAGCCTAGATTTCCCCCATGTAACTGACGTTTTAGTGCGAGATTTTAGGACAACTTGATAGCTTGAAAATTTTAAACGATTTGTATGCTGGAAGGAGTTTGCGCCGAGTAAACTTAGGGCACTCACCCTAAGTTAAAGTTAATTAATGGTTTAAAAGCGTCTCAACGTGTCGGTTACAGGTTCATTAAATTGTTTTCCTCTTTTTGTTGCAAATTTACTGGAATTTCTCATCAATTGTCTTGTGTTAAATGCTGTGTATTGATTATTATTTTTCGTGCCAGTGATCTGCAGCTGCAGTGTGCTAGTAATGCATTGAATAACAAAGGTTGCCGCGGTTAATACTGACTAAACTATCAAGTTTCTCTCACCTGGTATTCACTCAGAAAAGAAAACTCCGATGCTACAAGCTTTTGTTCGACTACTTCATTGAGATTGCCACTTGTGTAATCTTACCTCCTTAGCTGGAAGAACAACTTTCCCGATAGAAAGCTGTGTTGAAATATCCTGACGATCTCCTTGAACATGTCTTCTAGATATCCCCTCAGAACCTTCAGACCTTGGTTTCTCCTGATTAGTAGGCACTGTGACCATACCTTTAGACGCAGCTGCTGCTTGTGATGTAGCGACTGCAGGCAAAGGACTTGAGGTTATGGGACATCCACCTTTTGAAAATTGTTCCACGACGATGTTTCTGACATAATCTGAAAGTACAAAAGACAAATAATAACCTTAAACGTAAATAGCAAACTGNCCTAAAAGATACCTTAAGCGCGTATAATGTAAGCTTAGTAACGAATTACAGAATCACTTAGAGTCATGAAGGACGTGATAGCCTAGATTTCCCCCTTGTAACCGACGTTTTAGTGCGAGATTTTAGGACAACTTGATAGCTTGAAAATTTTAAACGATTTGTATGCTGGAAGGAGTTTGCGCCGAGTAAACTTAGGGCACTCACCCTAAGTTAAAGTTAATTAATGGTTTAAAAGCGTCTCAACGTGTCGGTTACAGGTTCAGTAAATTGTTTTCCTCTTTTTGTTGCAAATTTACTGGAATTTCTCATCAATTGTTTTGTGTTAAATGCTGTGTATTGATTATTATTTTTCGTGCCAGTGATCTGCAGCTGCAGTGTGCTAGCAATGCACTGAATAACAAAGGTTGCCGCAGTTAATACTGATTAAACTATCAAGTTTCTCTCACCTGGTGTTCACTCAGAAAAGAAAACCCCGATGCTACAAGCTTTTGCTCGACTACCTTATTGAGATTGCCGCTGCCCTAATCTTACCTCCTTAGCTGGAAGAACAACTTTGCCGATAGAAAGCTGTGTTGAAATATCCTGACGATCTCCTTGAACATGTCTTCTAGATATCCCCTCAGAACCTTCAGACCTTGGTTTCTCCTGATTAGTAGGCACTGTGACCATACCTTTAGACGCAGCTGCTGCTTGTGATGTAGCGACTGCAGGCAAAGGACTTGAGGTTATGGGACATCCACCTTTTGAAAATTGTTCCACGACGATGTTTCTGACATAATCTGAAAGTACAAAAGACAAATAATAACCTTAAACGTAAATAGCAAACTG